CTGGGACTCATTATGTTGAGCCAGGGTGTGTTCATTTCTATGTGTGTATTTCTATGTTGGTGTTCATTCTAGTTTGTTGTATTTCTATGTTTGCCTGAGTGACTCCCAATCAGAGGCAACGAGTGTCAGCTGTTGGCTGGTTGTCTCTGATTGGGAGCCATATTTAAACTGTATGTTTTCCCTTTGTGGTTGTGGGTTTTTGTTCCGTGTTCGGTCATTGATACCGTGGACGTCACGAGTCGTGTTTTGTTTTGTATTTTGACGCTTTAACTAATTAAAGTCATGTTTGTTCATCACGCTGCGCCTTGGTCTACTCCTTACCTCGACCTTGACAAATATGGACTTGGTCTTTTACCAAATAGGGCTATCTAATGTATACCCCCCCCCCCCCCCCCCCCCAACTTGTCAAAACACAACTGATTGGCTCAAACACATTAAGGACATAAATTCCACAAATTAACTTTTAACAAGGCACACCTGTTAATTGAAATGCATTCCAGGTGACTACCTCATGAAGCTGGTTGAGAGAATGCCAAGAGTGTATGAAGCTGTCATCAAGGCAAAGGGTGGCTATTTTAAGAATCTAAAATCTAAAATATATTTTGGCAGTAGAATGGCCTTACTGAAAAACTCAGTGACTTTCAACGTGGCACCGTCATAGGATGCCACCTTACCAACAAGCCAGTTCGTCAAATTTCTGCCCTGCTAGAGCTGCCCCAGTCAACTGTAAGTGCTGTTATTATGAAGTAGAAACATCTAGGAGCAACAATGGCTCAGCCGCAAAGTGGTAGGCCACACAAGCTCACAGACGGGACCAATGAATACTGAAGTGCGTAGCGCGTAAAAATCGTCTGTCTTCAGTTGCAACACTCACTACCGAGTTCCAAACTGCCTCTGGAAGCAACGTCAGCACAAGAACTGTTCGTCGGGAGCTTAATGAAATGGGTTTCCATGTGGTGTAAAGTTCGGCGCCATTGGACTCTGGGGCAGTGGAAACGCGTTCTCTGGAGTGATGAATCACAAATCTGGGTTTGGCGGATGCCAGGAGAACACTACATGCCCCAGTGCATCGTGCCAACTGTAAAGTTTGGTAAAAGAGGAATAATGGTCTGGGGCTGTTTTGCATGGTTCAGGCTAGGCCCCTTAGTTCCATTGGAGGGAAATCTTAACGCTACAGCATACAATGACATTCTAGTCGATTCTGTGCTTCCAACTTTGTGGCAACAGTTTGGGGAAGGCTCGCAAAACACCAGTCTCAACGTCAACAGTGAAGAGGTGACTCCGGGATGCTGACCTTCTAGGCAGAGTTGCAAAGAAAAAGCAATATCTCAGACTTATATTTTTATTGGCCAATCTGAGATATGGCTTTTTCTTTGCAACTTTGCCTAGAAGGTCAGCATCCCGGAGTCGCCTCTTCACTGTTGACGTTGAGACTGGTGTTTTGCGGTTACTATTTAATGAAGCTGCCAGTTGAGGACCTGTGAGGCGCCTGTAACTCAAACTAGACACTCTAATGTATTTGTCCTCTTGCTCAGTTGTGCACCGGGGCCTACCACTCCTCTTTCTATTCTGGTTAGAGTCAGTTTGCACCGTTCTGTGAAGGGAGTAGTACACAGCGTTGTACGTGATCTTCAGTTTCTTGGCAATTTTTAGCATGGAACAGCCTTCATTTCTCCGAACAAGAATAGATTGACAAGTTTCAGAAGAAAGTTATTTGTTTCTAGCCATTTTGAGCCTGTAATTGAACCTAGAATTGCTGATGCTCCAGATACTCAACTAGTCTCAAGAAGGCCAGTGTTATTGCTTCTCTAATCAGCACAACAGTTTTCAGCTGTGCTAACATAATTGCAAAAGGGTTTTCTAATGATCAATTAGCCTTTTGAAATGATAAATTTGGATTAGCAAACACAACGTGCCATTGGAACACAGGACTGATGGTTGCTGATAATGGGCCTCTGTACGCCTATGTAGATATTCCATTAAAAATCAGCCGTTTCCAGCTACAATAGCCATTTACAACATTAACAATGTCTACACTGTATTATCAATTATATGTTATTTTAATGTACAAAAAAATGGCTTTTCTTTCGTAAACAAGGACATTTCTAAGTGACCCCAAACTTTTGAACGGTAGTGTATATTATATACACTGCTCAAAAAAATAAAGGGAACACTAAAATAACACATCCTAGATCTGAATGAATGAAATCATCTTATTAAATACTTTTTTCTTTATATAGTTGAATGTGCTGACAACAAAATCACACAAAAAATTATCAATGGAAATCAAATGTATCAACCCATGGAGGTCTGGATTTGGAGTCATACTCAAAATTAAAGTGGAAAACCACACTACAGGCTGATCCAACTTTGATGTAATGTCCTTAAAACAAGTCAAAATGAGGCTCAGTAGTGTGTGTGGCCTTCACGTGCCTGTATGACCTCCCTACAACGCCTGGGCATGCTCCTGATGAGATGGCGGATGGTCTCCTGAGGGATCTCCTCCCAGACCTGGACTAAAGCATCTGCCAACTCCTGGACAGTCTGTGGTGCAACGTGGCGTTGGTGGATGGAGCGAGACATGATGTCCCAGATGTGCTCAATTGGATTCAGGTCTGGGGAACGGGCGGGCCAGTCCATAGCATCAATGCCTTCCTTTTGCAGGAACTGCTGACACACTCCAGCCACATGAGGTCTAGCATTGTCTTGCATTAGGAGGAACCCAGGGCCAACCGCACCAGCATATGGTCTCACAAGGGGTCTGAGGATCTCATCTCGGTACCTAATGGCAGTCAGGCTACCTCTGGCGAGCACATGGAGGGCTGTGCGGCCCCCCAAAGAAATGCCACCCCACACCATGACTGACCCACCGCCAAACCGGTCATGCTGGAGGATGTTGCAGGCAGCAGAACGTTCTCCACGGCGTCTCCAGACTCTGTCACGTCTGTCACATGTGCTCAGTGTGAACCTGCTTTCATCTGTGAAGAGCACAGGGCGCCAGTGGCGAATTTGCCAATCTTGGTGTTCTCTGGCAAATGCCAAACGTCCTGCACGGTGTTGGGCTGTAAGCACAACCTCCACCTGTGGACGTCGGGCCCTCATACCACCCTCATGGAGTCTGTTTCTGACCGTTTGAGCAGACACATCCACATTTCTGGCCTGCTGGAGGTCATTTTGCAGGGCTCTGGCAGTGCTCCTCCTGCTCCTCCTTGCACAAAGGCGGAGGTAGCGGTCCTGCTGCTGGGTTGTTGCCCTCCTACGGCCTCCTCCACGTCTCCTGATGTACTGGCCTGTCTTCTGGTAGTGCCTCCATGCTCTGGACACTACGCTGACAGACACAGCAAACCTTCTTGCCACAGCTCGCATTGATGTGCCATCCTGGATGAACTGCACTACCTGAGCCACTTGTGTGGGTTGTAGACTCCGTCTCATGCTACCACTAGAGTGAAAGCACCGCCAGCATTCAAAAGTGACCAAAACATCAGCCAGGAAGCATAGGAACTGAGAAGTGGTCTGTGGTCACCACCTGCAGAACCACTCCTTTATTGGGGGTGTCTTGCTAATTGCCTATAATTTCCACCTGTTGTCTATTCCATTTGCACAACAGCATTTGAAATGTATTGTCAATCAGTGTCGCTTCCTAAGTGGACAGTTTGATTTCACAGAAGTGTGATTGACTTGGAGTTACATTGTGTTGTGTAAGTGTTCCCTTTATTTTTTTTAGCAGTATATATATATATATATATATATATATATATATATATATATATATATATATATATATATATATATATATAGATAGATATAGATATATGTGTGTGTGTGTGTGTGTGTTGCCCTCTGCCCTCTCTCTGTGTGCTGTGCTGTTTGTGTCTCATTGACTAATAGCGAACAGGCTGCATGCTGGCTTCACATGGAGTCACTGCAGCAGAACACAGTGAAATACAAAATTATGGCATTACACCAGCATAGGGAAACAGGCTAGCACAGAAAGATCATCACACAAAGATAACCATCTACTTCTTTCACCTCAAACGATCTCCTACTGCAAGACCATTTATGTGATAAGGTAAAAAATTGTTTTGAATAAAACATTTTCTCTTCAGTTGTAACACCTAACAATAAGGTGCTTCATCTTTCAATGGCTCCTCTCTAGACCAAACTTCTGAGAAGCAATTCTTCTCCTAAGAAAGAATGTGGCTTGTAGTGATATTGAACCTCTCCATAAGAGACACAGGTTAGGTGACCGACTTGACATTGATTGGTGACAGACGAGTCACTCTAAATGAAGGAAGGTTCCAGGTGACCGTCTCCTTTCCCCCATCTCACTCTGACCACCTTCAGTCTGTCCTGCTCCCTCCTCTCATTCCAATGTCCCTCTCTTTCCTCCTTCCCCTTTCTCATTCATTCTATTTCATTAATCCAGTTTCCCTTTAGCTCTGAGCGCAGTCCATCAATCTTACCCCAAGTTGAGACACAAGAGCCAGAGAAAGAAATAAGGGGGAAGGAGGAGAAGGGGGAGAGAGGACAAGAAGGGGTAGAGGGTAGAATGGAGAAAAAAAAAGCAATTTCCGGAAAGCTCAATTTGAAATTACAATGATGTGGGCTTCCTGTGGGTGGAAACAGAGATGGAGAAAAGAGCCCATGTAGGAGACCATGAATGACCAGGCTGTTTTTAGATCTTCAATGCTCCTTCAAGTGAGACTAACCTATAAAAAGACAATGAAAAAGCACAACTCAATGGCAGCTGAATGAAATCACATATGGCTGTAGGAGTCTATAGTATTTAATCTGTGAACAGATGTGTGTGTGTGTTGCCCTCTGCCCTCTCTCTGTGTGCTGTGCTGTTTGTGTCTCATGTGTTTCAGTCCCTCATCTAAGCCATTTACCTCCATATACCGCTTAATCCCAGTTCTCTTTATTTTCTGTCATTTTACAACTTTAAACACACACACACACACGTACACAAACAATCAGCAGATCCAAAGGCTGTGGCCTACCTCCAGTTGCCCCCTCAACTTCTTGACGTGGGCGGAGTCCTGTGATAGCTCCTCCCTCTGGGAGGCGTCAACCAGGATGTTGACGATAGTCTCGGCCTCCTGCAGCCACTAAAGGAAGGCCTCCAGATCGCTGAGGGACATCTGCAGAACCTTCAGGCCACTGTCCAGCTGGGCCTGGTGGTCATTAGCCCTGTCAATCAATCAACATCAATATGACAATCAATACACTGACTAGTTGATAGATGTAATGACAAATGATCAAGCATTGGTTTGGTTGGAGGTCCATTGATGAATTAGCTAGCCGAGTCAAGAATTAAAGTAGTTCAGGACATTATAAAGGTGAGACTTGACAAGTGTGTGTGTGTATACGTGCGTGTGTGTCTGTGTATGTGTGTCCACCTATTGTTGATGCCGTTCCAGGCTATGTTGTGTTTCTCTGTGACATCTTTGATCCTCCTTGTCTCGTCTCCAGAATACTCTCGCAGGAGCTGATTGGACAGCTCATTAAAGGTTGTCACGGTACCCTGACCTCTTCCCAGGTCCTGCAAGAACACCTGGCGAAAAAACAAACATCAAATAATGACAACAACTTACTCCTCACAGACTAAACAGTTGCACCATATGGCTTTGTAAATATTTCCCTTCTTTCATATCCTTCTCACATCCCTTTAATCTCACTGCAATTATTGTGGTTCCCTCAGGATCTCACTTTTTTATTTACTTAAGGTATGATAACCTATTTAATTAAATCAGAACAGGTATCAGTACCTGTTCTAGGGCATTGGAACTACAGTACAGTACCACAGTGAATTAGACACAGATGCCCTCTAGTGTTTGACATTGGCATTGCATTGGGCCACATATGAAAATAAAGTACACGACAATCCCAATAGGAGACCGCTCATATGCTTACCATTATTTACCTGCAAGGCATGATTGATCAGCATTCATCAACACTATCAGTAATAGTTGTGACTAACCAACAGTGAGCCCTCTCATCTGCATATAGTCCTTGTCATAATCAGCACGACACACTGTGATACTAAAACGCATGATGAATGGTACACATGTGTGTTAGATGCAAACACTTAAAAACATACTTGCCATACGCTGCCTCGAGTCAGTTCCCAATCCTAACCTTAACCATGAACATAATTACAAATATATTACCCTTTATCATTGATTTGGGGCTAATCCACCCATCTGGCTAATGGGGCAGTGTCAGTAGTCCAAAGGTCAAAGGGGAAGGGTCACTGTACCTTGTTGTCAATGAGCTGTTTGGTCAGGGGTTCCCTGGAGAGCTGCAGAAGGTTGTGCAGGCGCCCCTCATTCTGACAAATCAGAGCCTTCAGCTCCTGTCTCTGCTCCTCCCACTGATCGCTGTGGCCAATCATGTTATCCAGCTGCTGGAGCCGCGCCTCCACGCCTTGCTGCGTGTTGTCCCATTGGCTATGCACTTTCTCCACTGCAGAGAGAGAAAGAAAAAAAGTAGGTGTGGATGGTCAGTTTGAATCCAGGGTTGGGTGGGTGAGGTGCAGGCGTGTTGGGGTAAGGCTAAACTGCACTTGGACAATAATCTTTCTACAGAAAACTGAAGCTATAGATGTGATTTTGTGTATCCAAATGCATTTCTCAGAGTATATTCATGCTTTTCTCTCTAGGTATGATACAGTATATTATGTTCATGCTTTACTGGCTCTGTGAGCATACATACATTTCTCAGTGATGGAGGTGCGTATGTCCAAGTTGGAGGTCTTGTTCTTGATGTTCTGGGCCAGAGTGAAGATATCCCCCAGCTGGGGGTGACGCAGCACCAGGTCACTCTTCGTCACCTGAGCAGAATAACCAACCAATCCGTCAGTCAATTGGATTTATAAAAGCCCTTTTTACATGAACATATTACAGAAACCACAAACATGGGTGCATTTACTATTACTAACACGTTTCACAGGTACAGTATATTCTAGTATACCTTCACACACAGAGACTCAACGATAAGTTACATGCCACAGGTACCCACAAAAATGATGGCTGACTAAAGCCATCACCCGGTACACTCCACCAGTCCCCATTCATTCCCACATGCACGTACATGCAAGCGTCCCATGCTGGTGCGTATCTCATCTGTGTCTCCTACAGTGACGATGTTGGACTTAAGCATCTGGGTGATGAGCAGCAGCCATTCAGCCAGCTCCATGGCCATGTTGTTCAGGTCTGTGGGGACCACCAGCTCTGGGCTGTTGGGGGTCTGGTAATGGGGGTCCTCACTCATCAGACTGGCCATCTGTACTGCCGATGGGACCACCGAAACTGTGGATGGAGAGGGGGGAGGAGGGAAGTGGAGAGAGGCCAATTCAATTCAATATTTATTTGTATTCTGTTTTGGGGGCATTGCCAGATTACAATACTGTTGTTAAAAACAGATAGGAAAGGATCATTCGAAAATAGGATGGTTATACAGTAGTAACTAGTAATGAATCATTTTGGTTAAGGTACCTGAGAGTTGTTGTTGCTGGGCGACATGGTGCGTCCATGGAGAAGACACAGGACGTTGCAATGGAGACAACATAGGTAGTTGTTGAGATTCCTTCAACCTGCTGTCCAGAGCCTTCCAGTCTGGAAGAGAGAGAGGGGCTTACAGATCAATATAAAACTAGAAATCAAAGCTGTATTAATGAACAGAATGAGTCAATTGGAAATTAGCTGCTATGAATAATGGATAGGTATTGGATAGATTGCACTCTACAGTAACTAGTAACTAGTGCTAGCTGCTCCACATCCTACTGATAATTATGATGGTGATGATGATGTGAGTGGTGTAAACATAAATATACTATATAATACTAATAATATTGTTCTATTTAATTATGTGGGTGTCAATGCCTGGCTTTCAAACAGTTCTTCCCCTCAGGGGAAAGCCTGGTACTCTTTAGTATTCCAAACGATACCAATTAGAAGACTCTCTCTCTCTCTTTCTCTCTCCTTCTCTCTGCAGGAATATAATGAACGATAGAGCATGAAAAGTGCTGGATAATTAAGGAGAGAAGGCATATTGTTCACGTTCAAAAACATACATTTCTCACACCAAAACCCCCCATCCGCATCAGTCGCTAATGTAAACATATTGGTCTGATTTGTCTGATCGTATTCAGATGATGGAAATACTTATCATAAATAAAACATGTTGTGCTGATGCAGTTGATCCAACATTTTGCATACTATCTCTGCATAATGTCAGGGTCATCATTAAAGTGGGTGAGTTAGTAGCATACACACTCGTCTCTCTCTCTCTCTCTCTCTCTCTCTCTCTCTCTCTCTCTCTCTCTCTCTCTCTCTCTCTCTCTCTCTCTCTCTCTCTCTCTCTCTCTCTCTCTCTCTCTCTCTCTCTCTCTCTCACACACACAAACACACACTCGCTGACCTCCTGGTGTGTCCTGGCTGTGTCCAGGTGCAGTTGTCCATCAGGTCCTTTTCCCTTAGTGAGGACCTCTTCCGGGTCGGTCATCCACTGACTTAGGTCGTTTAGGTCACAGTGGAACTGTCTCCACTCCTCTACCGCACGGTCAAAACTCCTACAGACAGGGGACAGCAGATCTCGTATTAGTTAAGTTTACCAAGACCAAACCTTAACCATTAGGGTGGAAACTAGCAGATCTGGAATCAGTTAACTCTGACCAAGCCCTGATATAGCTGCCTGATATAGCTGTAGCCTTCGTTAGTATGGTGTCTATTGTGAATACTACGAAGGTTCCATTGAGTTGTAATGCCCTCATAATGGATTGAATGAGTATCTCAACCAAAATGTTTATGAAGTACAGACCCTCAGACTTTTTTTGCTGACACCCTTTTAGCACAATAACTGTTTAAATCCATGTTATGAACTGCGGTCGTTTGATGTTTTACAAGATGAGTGCATGAGAGATCAACATCGTTCTCTGAACACCCATACCAAGTCAGCTCATTCAAATATATAAATATTGAGTGTAAGTTTATTAAGTAATGCTTTGAAGTAACTTTTGATTAAAGCAGCCTAATTTTGCAATTCAAATCCAAAATGTAAACCCAATTGAATTCATTTTCATATAGTCCTTACAGTCTGCTTTCAATTCTGAGAAAGTATTCAGATCAACAGATAACACCCGATCACTCTTTGATTACAGTTTTTTTTTTTTTTTTACTAATTAATTCTTCCTTCTGAGGGTGTTGGGTGGATTTTGGAATCGGGCCGGAATCAGAATGAGATTTTCCCAAGATATACCCAAGTTCCTCCACTCGAAAAATCCTTATTTTTCTGATAAGGATAAAGGAAAAGTAAGAATGTCACCCCATTCCTGACCTCCATTAAGCAGTAGTGAATGTGTTGGGTGCCAGGGAATGACTGATAACACTGTAGAAAATTCCAATGAACCTCACAATACACTGCCACATAAAGACAACTACCACCATATCTCTTAAATAAGAACAGGTCAGGATCTTTTATGAGTTTTGAGCATGAATTAGCTACTCCCAATTGAACATTCTTAATGGTATATATTGATTGATTAGATGGTCAAGTTGTCTTGGTTGATTGCAGTTTTTGTTCTTCATTCAAAACTAAGTTGGACTATATCACTCAATGTCTGACGTAGAGTACAGTGTGTACTATATGTGGTGTGCATCTGTGTGTGTGTGTTCCCAGTCAACTTGGCCTGTGTTGATCAGTCTGTCTGTTTGTGTGTGTGTCTGTGTGTGTGTCTGTGTGTGTGTGTGTTTTTGTGCTCCCAGTCAACTTGGCCTGTGGTGATCAGTCTGTGTGTGTGCATGTGTGTGTGCTGAGGCCTTGGTATACAGTGCATACACTGGCATATCTCTCCCATTTCATTCTTCCTTACGCTCTTTCATGGTCATTGTGTATTAAGATCTTGGCAGGTACTAAGTAACTTAATGTTGACCGTCCGTCACCCACCCATTGCGGTGGTTGTACATGCGGTTGAGGCGGTCCCACTCTGCGTTGAGCTGGATGAGGGTGTCTCCGATCTGTGCCACCTCGCTTTGCGATGCCTCCAGGATGGCATCAGGCTGGCGCTCATGGATCAACGTCACTTGCTCCCCGACATGCTCCAGACTCACCTTTATACTCGGGGAGAGAGGGAGGGAGGGAGGAGAGAGAGGGAGGAGAGGAGAGAGAGGAGAGGAGAGAGAGGGAGGAGTGGAGAGAGGGGAAGGAGGGAAGTAAGTAAAAGAGTGAGAGGTCTCCATTCAGACCTAGAGGACAATACAGTTATTCCCTTCCCCCTCTCTCACCCTCAGTGTGTCCTCCTGGCTGGAGAAGTCTTCGTAGAGACTACTGCTGAGCTCGGAAGTGTTGAGCAGCAGTTCGTTGTCGGCCATGGCCAGCAGAACTTTGTTGATATCCAGAAGGTAGTGAGAGAGGGCGCACTCTCCTCTGACTCCATCTGCTGGCAAGAGACGGTATTATGTTAGAAACAATGAATGCATGTGTATGTGTGTGTGTGAATCTTTAACATTTTACCGTTACATTTAGCAGACACTCTTAGGTAGGTAACACAACCATATGTTGTACACAGCCCATCTGAAATTAGCCCACCCAACTACCTCAACCCCATATTGTTATTTATTTTGCTCATTTGCACCCCAGTATCTCTATTTGCACATCATCTCTTGCACATCTATCATTCCAGTGTTAATATTAATTGTAATTATTTTGCACTATTGCCTATTTATTGCCTTACCTCCATAACTTGCTACATTTGCACACACTGTATATATATATATATATATATATATATATATATATATTTTTTTTTCTGTTGTATTTTTGACTTTATGTTTTGTTTTACCCCATTTGTAACTCTGTGTTGTTGTTTTTATCGCAATGCTTTGCTTTATCTTGGCCAGGTTCTCAACTGGCTTACCTGGTTAAATAAAGGTTAAATAAAAATAAAATAAAAAAAATGAATCTGTGTAGGAACTGGGAAGCATCAAATGTCAACATTTTTGATATCACATAGAAAAGGGGAAGTTCACACATTTCTATGTAGACTTATTTTCACTCTTTCTGGGATTATAGTTGATCCCCAAAACAGTTTTTATTTTTATTTTGGTTAATTACAGAGCAAATTGGTAGAAACTGTTTGCTGAGTCATCACTTGCCATCGACTACAATGCATTATGAAAATGTGTCCAAAGCATGTTAGAAAACACTCCAAACCAACTCATATTACATCAGAATCCCATTCTGAATGATGTTTCTGCACTGTCCCATGAATCCATATTTGCATGTTCTGTTGTAAACAGTATCATTCAAACATGGATTTATGGCACAGTGAAAAAAAATACAAAATTGAGTGCAGAGACATCATTCAGAATAGGATTCTGATGTAATATGAGTTGGTGTGGAGTGTTTTAGAGGGTTTTCTATGCTTTAGGCATACACGTATTTGCATATTGCATTATAGTCAATGGCAAGTGATGACTCAGCAAAATGTGACAACCTATTTTCTCTGTAATTAAATAAAATATACAAAAAATAACAGTTTGAGGCACAGAAAGAGTAAAAATAAGGCCACATGTCACAACGGGTGAACTTCCCCTTTAACATAACTATCATATGTCACACAACAAAACAAGGTAATTAAAAGAAAGTCTGATAGTGAATAAAACAATTAACAGCTGTTACAGTTTAGCCTTAGTTACCAAGCTAGCTAGCTCAACAGTTTTAGGCTTAGGTTACCAAGCTAGCTTGCTAGTAAACAATGTAAGCCTGCATGTAATGATAATGATAGAATGTCTCTGACTTCTCCAGTCAGGTCCTGTCTGTGTGTCTCTGTGAAGCTGTGTAAAGAAGAAGAGTCCATGGAGACTTCCACCTGTCTCACTCTCAGCACCCTCATCTCCCGTAGAGACGAGAGAGGGATTTAGACACAAACAGTGAACCAGGATAATATGGCCAAGGCCAACAGTCCTCCAGATCTTAAACAGTGCTCTACTGTGCTACGAGACAGGAATACATTTGCATCTGAAATGCTGCAATGCACATCAATGGATTCATATTAAAAAGCTTGTTAACGTTACTCTTCCTCTCTCAATCTGTACGATGTACTCTTATTAATGCGATAATTGTATTTTTATTGTGTTAGGATATACAGCGCCTTCAGAAAGTATTCACACCCCTAGACCTTTTCCACATTTTGTTGTTACAGCCTACATTTATAATTGATTAAATTTAGATTTTGTGTCACTGGGCTACCACACATTACATCATAATGTCAAAGTGGAATTATATTTTAGGAAGTTTAGCAAATTAATAGAAAATGAAAAGCTGAAATGTCTTGAGTCAATAAGTATTCAATCCCTTTGTTATGTAAAGCCTAAATAACTTCAGGAGATGACCAATGCCTTTTCCAGCATGATGGAGCACCTTGTCATAAGGCAAAAGTGATAACTAAGTCCATGGGTCCATGGCCAGGAAACTCCCCAGACCTTAATCCCATTGAGAACTTGTGGTCGATCCTCAAGAGGCGGGTGGACAAACAAAAACCCACAAATTCTGACAAACTCCAAGCATTGATTATGCAGGAATGGGCTACCATCAGTCAGGATGTGGCCCAGAAGTTAATTGACAGCATGCCAGGGCGGATTGCAAAGGTCTTGAAAAAGAAGGGTCAACAATGCAAATATTGACTCTTTGCATAAACCTTATGTAATTGTCAATAAAAGCCTTTGACACTTATGGAATGCTTGTAATTATACTTCAGTATACCATAGTAACATCTGACAAAATATCTCATAACACTGAAGCAGCGAACTTTGTGAAGACCAATACTTGTGTCGTTCTCAAAACCTTTGACCACGACTGTACATGAGATTGCATTCATGGCAGACATCAAGAAGGCTTTCCTTCAGATATCCATTGCAGAGAGAGACAAAGACGCCGTGAGATTCCTGTGGCTCACAGGCCCACCAAGGGGAGAAAATGAAGAGGAGCTGCGCATGCTGAGGATGAACAGAGTGGTATTTGGAGCTTCCCCAAGTATATTCTTGCTCGCAGCTACAGAAAGCACCTGAAACAATATGAAACAGAACAACCAGAAGTTGTAGAGACATTGAGAGAGTCACTCTATGTAGATGACTTCATTGCAAGTTCACGCAATGTTGAAGAGGCTTACTTTGTGACAACAACTGCAAACCGAATGCTGTTGACTACAGGCATGGACCTCTGCAAGTGGAGGACCAATTCTCCTGAACTGAAAACGAAATGGGAGGAGAGTACAACAAATGACCACCCGTTGGCGCTAGAAACACAAGGAGTAGTGCTGAAAGTTTTAGGTTTAGTGTAAAGACCGGGAACAGATTACTTTGTGTTTGACCTCAGGCCGCTACTGAGCATTCTAAAGCAAAAGGAATACACAAAGAGAAGTGTTCTGCAGTCATCTGCATGCATCTTCGACCCTGTTGGCTTCCTGACCCCCTTCACCAAATCAAATCAAATTGTATTTGTCACATGCGCCGAATACAACAGGTGTAGACCTTACAGTGAAATGCTTACTTACAAGCCCTTAACCAACAATGCAGCTCAAGAAAGAGTTATGAAAATATTTACTATATAAACAAAAGTAAAAAATTTTTTAACATAAAATATAAAAAGTAACACAGTAAAATAAAAATAAGGAGGCTATATACAGGAGGTACTGGAACCAAGTCAATGTGTGGGGGTACAGGTTAGTCAAGGTAATTTGTACATGTGGGTAGGGGTAAAGTGACTATGCATAGATAATAAACAGCGAGTAGCAGCAGTGTAAAAACAAAGGGAGGGGGGGGGGGGGGTGTCAATGTAAATAGTCCGGGTGGCCATTTGATTAATTGTTCAGCAGTCTTATGGCTTGGGGGTAGAATCTGTTAAGGAGCCTTTTGGTCCTAGACTTGGCACTCCGGTACCGCTTGCCGTGCGGTAGCAGAAAGAACAATCTATGACTTGGGTGACAGGATCAAGTGCATGTTCCAGGAAATGTGGGAGAGGGCACTCAGCTGGGACGAAGAGTTACCACCTGATCTGACACGAGAATGGCAACAGCGGTGTTCAGAACTACCCCAGCTTCACCAGCTCACCATACCAAGGTGGTACAGAACAGACATGCAGCCACAGAACAGCCACACACTGAAACTACCCGTGTTCTGTGATGCAAGTGAAAGGGCTTACAGTGCATTAGCTTACCTGCAAGGTGAATCACAAGACGGGGAAACAACGACAAGCCTAGTCGCATCCAAGTCCATTGTAGCCCTCCTCAAGAAAATTAGGTCATGAGAGGTCATGGGAGCTGTGATTGGAGACTAGCAAACAACCTGATGACCACACTGAAAATGGAACAAAAACAGATCAAAATGTGGACAGAGTCGATGATCGTGCTGCATTGAATTTGCAGCTCAGCTCAGAAATGGAAACAGTTTGTCGCAAACAGAGTGACAGAGATCCAGTCCTTCACCAATCCAGAGTCATGGTCACATTTTGAAGGGAAAACTAATCCAGCCGACCTCCCTACAAGAGGACAAACTGTTTGAAACTTGACACAGAGCCAGCTATGGTGGAACGGACCCAGCATTATGACATCACCCAATCAGTCGGAGGAGACTGATGACAACAAGGTTCCAGGTCACTGTACAGCTCACAGCAAACAGCACAGACATCGCTGAACCCGAGTTGAAGCTTGAAAAGGTACAGCAAACTTAAAAAATTGTTCAGAATGACCGCCTCGATGAAGAGATTCATAGCCAATGCTTGTACAAACATAAAGATGCAAGGTGAACTGACTGCTGACGAACTGTTCGAGGCAGAAAAGTACTGGATCAAGGTAACACAACAACAGAGTTTCAGTCAGGAGATCAAACTACTGAAGGCAGGAAAAAGCCTAAACAATGACTGTAAAATTAGAGAACTGAAACCGTTCCTGGACGAACACAAACTACTCAGTGTAGGAGGAAGACTGCAACAGTCCAACTTCACATTCAGAGAGCAGCACCCATGGGGTCTGCCCAACAAGCACAGATATTCAGAAATGTTGATACAGTACCATCATGAGAAGATGATGCATTCTGGAGTAAGAGACACTCTAGTACAAATCAGAGAGCAATACTGGATATTGCGTGCTAGGTAGCTAGTCAAGACCACAGTGGCAAGATGTATAGTCTGCAAGAGATTCAAGGCAAGGGCTGGACAGCAGGTCACTGCGCCTTTATCAATGACAGAATAACTGAATCCCCACCATTCAAAGTCACAGGTGTGGATTTTGCAGGGCCGCTCTACGTGAAAGAAAATGGTTCTGTGAAGAACCATGCTCTTGACTAGCTGCCTAGCACGCGCTGTTCACTTGTGCTGTAACCAGAGCAGTGCATTTGGAATTGGTCTCAGATCAATCAACAGACATTCCTGTTACCTCTGAAAAGATTCATCTCAAGGAGAGGATTATTCAAGGTAATCTATTCGGACATTGCAAAAACATTCAAGAGAGCTAATCAGGACTTGAAAGAGCTGTGGAAGGCAATCAAAGAGCCCCTATTGACTTCAAGTACCAGAATGCCTTGCGACAGGAAGTATGAAAAAATTAGAACGCACTAGTTATGTACAAGTGACAAGTGATTAGCCTGGCTTTCGCTAGCAACGTTCTTTTATTGTTTTGTAGAATTTAAAGTGGTAAAATGTAACGTCAAACAAGTATTATTACTAAAAATAACCTTTCATCTCACAACCGACGTCCCGAGTCATTACTTTGAAGATAGTTATTCTATACATGGTGAAGTTATTAACTACACTTTGGATGGAGTATCAATAGACCCAGTCACTACAAAGATACAGGCGTGCTTCCTAACTCAGTTGCCGGAGAGGAAGGAAATCACTCAGGGATTTCACCATGATGGTGACAGGTACAGAGTTTAATGCTGTGATTGGAGAAAACTGAGGATTGACCAACAACATTGTAGTTACTCCACAATACTAACCTAAATGACAGAGTGAAAAGAAGGAAGCCTGAACATAATACAAATATTCCAAAACATGCATCCTGTTTGCAATAAGGCACTAAAGTAAAATTAACTTTATGTCCTGAATACGAAGCGTTATGTTTGGGGCAAATCCAACACAACACATCACGGAGTACCACTTTATATTTTCAAGCATGGTGGTGGCTGCATCATGTTATGGGTATGTTTGTCATCGGCAAGGACTAGGGAGTGTTTTAGGATAAAAATCAACGGAATAGAGCTAAGCACAGGCAAAATCCTAGAGGAAAACCTGGTTCACTCTGCTTTCCAACAGACACTGGGGGACAAATTCACCTTTCTGCAGGACGATAACCTAAAACACAAGGCCAACTATACACTGGAGTTGCTTACCAAGACGACATTGATCCTGAGTGGCCTATTTAAAGTTTTGACTTAAATTTGCTTGAAAATCGATGGCAAGACTTGAAAATGGCTGTCTAGCAATGATCAACAACCAACGTGACATGTTTGTTGTTGTTGTTGAATAATGTGTAAATATTGTACAATCCAGGTGTGCAAAGCTCTTAGAGACTTACCCAGAAAGACTCACAGCTTTAATCGATGCCAAAGGTGATTATAACATGTATTGACTCAGGGGTGTGAATACTAATGAAAATGAAATATTTTTGTATTTCATTTTTAATACATTTATTAAAGTGTCTAAAATTTCACTTTGTCATTATGGGATATTTTGTGTAAATGGGTGAGCTTTTTTATTTATTTAATACATGTTGAATTCAGGCTGTAACACAACAAAATGTGGAATAAGTCAAGGCATATGATTACTTTATGAAGGCACTGTACATGTTACATGTTTGTTAAGCTAGTGTAGTGATAGTGCATCATTCTCCTTCACCCTCTGAGTGGTGTACTGCGTCTGCAGCCGGAGCAGTCTGAGACTCAGTTCCTCCCTCTGGCCCTCGTCTACAGTCTGGAGCAGCACCTCCTCTCCTCTCCTCAGCAGCTCCTCCACGCCTGCCTTCTCCCTGTCCATCTGACCAGTCAACACACAGGGTCAGAGTTCAAAGTGAATGTTGTCACGGAATCAATCAAATCCTATCAAACTAGGGTTTTCCAGGGTTAGAAAATGAACATTACGCCCATAATCAAAAAGAAAAATAAATGAAACTGAATCCAAACCAAAAGTTGTTTGAAGAGGCCTAAACTGAGTCCTTTTCCAGAGAGTCGAGGCTCGACAGAAAGCAGTAAGAAACAGAAGAAGTATTGCAGTAGTAACACTGCTTCCTGACTGACGTTGACCTTGGTCTTGGCTGGTGTGATTTGTTCAGCCGCTCTACACTGTGTACTGTAATAAAACTATGATAACACACTGAGGTCAGACTGCCCAATCACACCACTGTTTGTCTATGACATAGTATACAGCTTATATTGTAGCACTTTGTGTTCTTTGTTTAACAAGTCAAACTTACTTACTCACTGTGTGTGTGTGTGTGTGTGTGTGTGTGTGTGTGTGTGTGTGTGTGCGCGTGTGTACAGTATGTACAGTGCATTCAGAAAGTATTCAGACCCCTTGTCTTTTTCCACATTTTGTTACGTTACAGCCTTATTCTAAAATGGATTAAATTGTATTTTTTCCTCAACAATCTACAAACAATACCCCATAATGAAAAATCAAAATGTATTAAAAATAAAGAACTGAAATATCACATTTACATAAGTATTCAAACCCTTTACTCAGTACTTTGTTGAAGCACCTTTGGCAGCGATTACAGCCTCGATTCTTCTTGGGTATGTTGCCACAAGCATGGCACACCTGTATTTGGGGAGTTTCTCCCATTCTTCTCTGCAGATCCTCTCAAGCTCTGTCAGGTTGGATGGGGAGCTATCTTCAGGTCTCTCCAAAGATGTTAGAATGGGTTCAAGTCCGGGCTCTGGCTGGGCCACTCAAGGACATTCAGAGACTTGTCCCGAAGCCACTCCTCTGTTGTCTTGGCTGTGTGCTTAGGGTCATTGTCCTGTTGGAAGGTGAACCTTCGCCCCAGTCTGCGCTCCAGAGCGCTCTGGAGCAGGTTTTCATCAAGGACCTCTCTGTACTTTGCTCCGTTCATCTTTCCCTCGGTCCTGACTAGGCTCCACGTCCCTGCCGCCATCGCCACAGCATGATGCTGCCACCACCATTCTTCACCGTAGGGATGGTGCCAGGTTTCCTCCAGACATGACGCTTGGCATTCAGGCCAGAGAATCTTGTTTTTCATGGTCTGAGAGTCTTAAGGTGCCTTTTGGCAAACTCCAAGCAGGCTGCCATGTGCCTTTCTACTGAGGAGAGTCTTCCGTCTGGCCACTCTACCATAAAGTCCTGATTGGTGGAGTGCTGCAGAGATGGTTGTCCTTCTGGAAGGTTCTCCCATCTCCACAGAGGAACTTTTGAGCTCTCTCAGAGTGACCAATGGGTTCTTGGTCACCTCCCTGACCAAGGCCCTTCTCTCCCGATTGCTCAGTTTGGCCAGGCGGCTAGCTCTAGGAAGAGTCTTGGTGGTTCCAAACTTCTTCCATTTAAGAATGATGGATGCCACTGTTTTCTTGGGGACCTTCAATGCTGCAGACATTTTTTGGTACCCTTCCCCAGATCTGTGCCTTGACGCAATCCTGTCTCGGAGCTCTACAGACAATTCCTTTGACCTCATGGCTTGTTTTTTTCCTCTGACATGCACTGTCAATTGTGGGACCTTATATAGACAGCTGTGTGCCTTTCCAAATCATGTCCAATCAATTGAATTTACCACAGGTGGACTCCAATCAAGTGTAAACAGGATGCACCTGAGCTCAATTTCGAGTCTCATAGCAAAGGGTCCGAATACTGAAGGAATCAGTTTTTTTTATTTTTAATACATATCCTAAAATGTAAAAAAAAACAGTTTTCGGTTTTAATCCATTTTAGAATAAGGCTGAAACATAACAAAATGTGGAAAAAGGGGTCTGAATACTTTCTGAATGCACTGTATGTGCGTGCATGCACGTGAGAAAGTGTCTGTCCAGTGTATATATATATATATATATATATATATATATATATATATATATATATATATATATATATATATATATATATGTATATATATATATATATATATTTATAGACCTTGTCATCATCCAGGGTGTGTGTGGGGTCCTGATGGTCCTCCAGGGCTCTGAGTGTTGCCTCTAATTTCCCCTCAAAGGTCAACATCAGGCTGGAGCTCAGGGCCTCCTCTGACTGACTCTGTTGGAGCTCAGTGATCTGGTCCTGTTGAAGCTGAGAGATCTGGTGAGGAATCTGAGAGATCTGTTGGATCTGCTGGATCATCTCCACAGTCCCTGGCTCCAGAGTAGTGGACATCTGGGTGTCAGAAACAAAAGCGACAGAATTACACCACTGTGCGTGTTGACAGATTGAATGATGAAGCTCTGAACAGTTGTAATTGTAATACACTGAAACAGTGTTGTGAGAGTATTTGTACCTTGGCAGCTTTGATGCGCTTGGAGACCTTGTGGAAGTTGCGGTTGAGTTCGGCCAGTTTGGGTTCCACTACATCTCTGCAGGCAGGACCTCTACTGGTCAGCATGATGATGGCCTGGTCTCTCACACTGTCCACTCTCAGACTGATGTCATCCAGCTCCTCTAGCAGAGTCTACACACAACACATCAATCAAACAATTAATACATTAACAGGTTCATCAATAGCTATTACTCAAATTATTATTTTCCCACACAGGCTAATATTCTCAAACTCTGCTAATAGAGTATAATTAAAATGTAATTGTAATCAACCAATATTGAACTAATTTCATACTGAGAATTGTGGTCCTTCAGTTCCACTCGGGAATTGTTCACTCCCCATGCTTTCAATCCTCTCTCTCTCTTCTACTGTCTCCCTTCCCCTCCTTCTCTCACCTTGACCAACATCTCTCTCTCCACGGTAGGCAGTATCTCCATCTCATCTAGGTGGATCTGGGTCAGGTACAGCCAGGTGCTGATGTGGGCCAGGTTCTCATCAAAGATTTCCACCTCGTTCTGGTGGCTCTGTAATGGACAGAGGTCATTGGCATATGAAAACGATAACATAGAATTTGATACCATTCTTTATTGTATTTCTTTGACCATAGCAATACAGTATTTCTTTGACCATAGCAATACAACTGAATTGAAATGAAAATTGTATCCTGCAAAGAGCACCATTTTTTAAAAGATATTAGGAATATGCAGGAATAATTCCAAATAGCCCTTCTGACATTACATTTTTGTTGTCATGTAATGTACAAATTACTTTACTCAACCATGACTTTAGATAGGATAACCTCTCTATTCATATTGTCTCTGTGATAGTAAAGTGTGTACCCACCAGTACAGTGCTGAGCCGGTCCTCGGTCCAGGTGCGGACCTGTCCCCAGCCCTCGTTGAGGCCACACAGCCTGTCCTCCAGAGGGCCCTTGCTCCCCTCCACCAGCCCCTGCAGCCCAGCACTGGTCTCCATCAGTACAGCCAGGTCTGCCTTACGACTCTCAGACTCCTTCAGCAGGCCCTGAACATACATTATACACATGTTACACACACGTTACAGATACGTTACACAAATTCTCTGCTCACACACACACACACACACACACACACAGACACACACACACACAAGCCAGGAAAACCTTTTAACAAACAAACTATTCTATCAAGCCCTGTGACGATACAAATACACTTCTCAAACACACACACACACGACTCACGTTGGCCCAAGCAATCTCAGTGTCTATATCAGCAGGCATGTCTCCAGAGGAGTTTTTCTGCTGCAGCAGGGTCTGGTTGGTGGTCAGCCAGTCCTGTAGGATGGTGCTTTCATTATGTAGTCTCTGAGACAGAGACAGAGCCTTCCCCTCTGTAACCTGGAGAGGGAAGAAGATACATAAGGACAGATTCCCAGTCCCTGCCGATGAAAAACATCCCCACAGCATGATGCTGCCACCACCATGCTTCACTGTGGGGATGGTGTTCTCGGGGTGATGAGAGGTGTTGGGTTTGCGCCAGACATTTTCCTGGATGGCCAAAAAGCTCAATTTTAGTCTCATCTGAGCAGAGTACCTTCTTCCATATGTTTGAGGAGTCTCCCACAAGACTTTTGGCGAACACCAATCATGTTTGCTTATTTTTTCCTTTAAGCAATGGCTTTTTTCTGGCCACTCTTCCATAAAACCCAGCTCTGTGGAGTATACGGCTTAAAGTGGTCCTATGGACAGATACTCCAATCTCCGCTGTGGAGCTTTGCCGCTCCTTCAGGGTTATCTTTGGTATCTTTGTTGCCTCTCTTGCCTGGTCCATGAGTTTTGGTGGGCGGCCCTCTCTTGGCAGGTTTGTTGTGGTGGATTTAATGGTGGTCCGCGGGATGTTCAACATTTCTGATATTTTTTCATAACAAAAACCCCGATCTGTACTTCTCCACAACTTTGTCCCTGACCTGTTTGGAGAGCTCCTTGGTCTTCATTGTGGCGCTTGCTTGGTGGTGCCCCTTGCTTAGTGGTGTTGCAGACTCTGGGGCCTTTCAGAACAGGTGTATGTATACTGGGATCATGTGACAGATCAAGTGACACTTAGATTGCACACAGGTGGACTTTATTTCACTAATTATGTGACTTCTGAAGGTAATTGGTTGCACCAGATCTTATTTAGGGGTTTCATAGCAAAGGGGGTGAATACATACAGTTGAAGTCGGAAGTTTACATACACCTTAGCCAAATACATTTAAACTCAGTTTTTCACAATTCCTGACATTTAATCCTAGTAAAAATTCCCTGTCTTAGGTCAGTTAGGATCACCACTTTATTTTAAGAATGTGAAATGTCAGAATAATAGTAGAGAGAATTATTTATTTCAGCTTTTATTTCTTTCATCACATTCCCAGTGTGTCAGAAGTTTACATACACTTAATTACTATTTGGTAGCATTGCCTTTAAATTGTTTAACATGGGTCAAACGTTTCGGGGTAGCCTTCCACAAGCTTCCCACAATAAGTTGGGTGAATTTTGGCCCATTCCTCCTGACAGAGCTGGTGTAACTGAGTCAGGTTTGTAGGCCTCCCTGCTCCCACACGCTTTTCAGTTCTGCCAACAGATTTTCTATAGGATTGAGGTCAGGGCTTTGTGATGTCCACTCAAATACCTTGACTTTGTTGTCCTTAAGCCATTTTGCTACAACTTTTGAAGGATGCTTGGGGTCATTGTCCATTTGGAAGACCCATTTGCGACCAAGCTTTACCTTCCTGACTGATATCTTGAGATGTTGCTTCAATAAATCCACATAATTTTCCTTCCTCATGATGTCATCTATTTTGTGAAGTGCACAAGTCCCTCCTGAAGAAAAGCACACCGACAGCATGATACTGCCACCCCCGTGCTTCACGGTTGGGATGGTGTTCTTCGGCTTGCAAGGTACCCTCTTTTTCCTACAAACATAACGATGGTCATTATGGCCAAACAGTTCTATTTTTGTTTCATGAGACCAGAGGACATTTCTCCAAAAAGTGCGATCTTTGTCCCCATGTGCAGTTGCAAACCGTAGTCTGGCTTTTTTATGGCGGTTTGGAGCAGTGGCTTCTTCCTTGCTGAGCGGCCTTTCAGGTTATGTCGATATAGGACTCGTTTTACTGTGGATATAGATACCTGTTTTTCCTCCAGCATCTTCACAAGGTCCTTTGATGTTGTTCTGGGATTGATTTGCACTTTTCACACCAAAGTATGTTCATCTCTAGGAGACAGAATGCGTCTCCTTCCTGAGCAGTATGACGGCTGCGTGGTCCCATGGTGTTTATACTTGTGTACTATTGTTTGTACAGATGAACGTGGTACCTTCAGGCATTTGGAAATTGCTCCCAAGGATGAACCAGACTTGTGGAGGTCTACAATTAGTTTTTCTGAGATCTTGGCTGATTTCTTTTGGTTTTCTCATGATGTCAAGCAAAGAGGCTCTGAGTTTGAAGGTAGGCCTTGAAATACATTCACAGGTACACCTCCAATTGACTCCATGACATCATTTTCTTGAATTTTCCAAGCTGTTTAAAGGCACAGTCAACTTAGTGTATGTAAACTTCTGATCCACTGGAATTGTGATACGGTGAATTATAAGTGAAATAATCTGTCTGTAAACAATTATTGGAAAAATTACTTGTGTCATGCACAAAGTAGATCTCCTAACCGACTTGCCAAAATGATAGTTTGTTAAAAAAAAAAATTGGAGCTCTTGAAAAATGAGTTTTAATGACTCCAACCTAAGTGTATGTAAACTTCCGACTTCAACTGTATAATTGGAGCCTATTTCTTCCTATTCAAAAAAATAAGTGGTAGGCCTACCTGTTTGACAGACACAGTTATGCTATCCATAGATAGCCAAATCCTCCAATACTGTTGCATGCACTCCTTAAATACCTCCGTGTCTCGGAAGGGCTTGGTGTGTTTGGTTAAAACCAGGGCTCAAATTGAGTGAGGGTATCACATACCCTTTGTTAAAGAAAAGGGCAAAAATATATATTTTGATATAAATACATAAAAAGTATACAGATGATATAAAGCGTTCTATAAGGATGCTTATCTCGGTGATGCCTTATGGTAGAAACAAGCTCTAAAAGGCCTGTGAAAGACGTGACACCGATGCATATGGGGATATATTGATTCCTCTCTATGACATTCTGAAGCTGAGCTGCAGCCTATAATATTTGAGGAGATTAAAAAAATGGACTTTGCTATTCTGTCCTTATTAATTTAGCTTTCACTTTCTGAAAAGAGAAGATGTTCGTTTAAACACAGGCAGCTTTTAGGGAAGCACTTCTGTTGTTGGGCCATGCAATGGACAAGTAGCCAGCAGTTGAAGCTTAAATTTTTCTGCGTCAGTAGAGCCTCTGTCTGGGTGGAAAGGTAACTTTTGAAAGTGCCATGCTTAGATTCAAAAGGATGTCTAAGAATTAAGTATTTGCAAACAGTGTTGCAAACAAGACACTTTGGTTTGACATTGGAAAAATATGTTAAGAATGCCTATTTATCTGTCCATTCTTCCCCATTCTTCCCTATTTTCACCATCCACCTTTCTTTTGAGACTTTTTCCAGTGCAACATTTTCTCTTGATTGCAAGCTGTTTTTCCCCAATGAACGCACAAAGAAATATAAAAAACTAATTTAATAGAGACATTGCTGATTTTATCAATGTAATCAGATTGAAAATATTAGGCTATGTTATTCACATTGAACTGATTATATAGCCTACTAACCAGATGTGTTAAGAATTGTGTTTAATTTGTAGCATAGGCCTATGAATTAGGCTGCTATTAGGTTCTGTTCTTGTGACTTTTAGCTGAGAATTTTTTTTTCCCAAGGCCAAACCTATTGCCGACCCCTGCTGTACATAGTTTAGTGGGGATAGGATGGGGGCCTCTCCAAAGTTTAAAATGACTGCCCAGCTAAAAGCTCTTCAGCATGCAGTGATGCGAAGTGTTTCTGCTGATAGGAGAAAGAGTTTGTGTGTGTATGTGTGTGTGTGTATATGTGTGTGTGTTCGTGCGTGCGTGTGTGTGTGTCACTTTGGACACTGTTGTCCTCTCTCTTACCACCACGAGGTGACGCCATGTATATTCCACTGGTCCTCATGACAGATTAGCTGTTTTCCACAGTTTTCCCTCCTACAGCCCAAGCTCAGTGAAGTGTGATTCTATTCCCTGTTAATGATTATTTATCTTAAACACCTAACCAACACACTTTAACAGGGGGTCCCACACTGCTGCTGGAGGTAAAAACACCTCAGCCTGTTTCACCTGCTGGGCCTTACTGCTACACACATGCATGCAAACAGTACACGGAAATCCATACATAATCACAGAGAGAGAGAGGAGAGAGGAGGAAGGAGATAGAGAGACACACACACACACACAAACACACACACAGAGCTCCAGGCAGACAATTCTTGTCTTATAGGGTGTTGTATACACTTAGTGCCACCTTCAGATGAGATTCATTTTGGTGTCGGCCATATTATTCTGTTTATTTTAAGAGAGCGCCTCATCTGTGCTAAATTCTCCCTCCGAGCTGTAAAAGAAAACATTACTTTAGGGTTGCTAGGCAACCGGAATCCTTATATTTAATTGGTCTGGAGACAAGCTTTGTAAATTACTGGTTTTACAGAAAGCTGGATTTAGTGCCCACTCTGAGGGCTGGAACTTAACCCTCTAGTCTAAGGGCCTGTGTGCTTGGCTTCTGCTAAGCTAACATATGGAATTGTTTTATGATGGTCATACCAAGGATCATTTAGCTATTTGATTTGGAATTTTAGGACCCCAGGTATAAAAAAAAATACATTTGAAACATTGAATTTGGCCTTCCAGCAATCAGCCCATAGAAATGCATTGAATAGCAGATGCATACATGGAAAAACAGATAGTAAATCAAAAGGAAATATGTTCTGAAGTGTCTGTCCTATATCTGAGAGATATAAGAAAGCTGTGGAATGACTTATTCACTTTCATAAATGATTCCTTCAGATGAGTGACACTTGTGAGGGTCGTAGAGCAAAACAGAGAACATTGTGTTTTTGAGAGTCAAATCTTTCCATAGAGGGGTCATATTAGTTTGTAGCCCAAACCGATCGGACGCTACAGACGTTTTCGTGAAATTATTTTCGGGATGTCTCCTGGTCTGACAAACACTGCTGTAGCTCTGCCACCTTCCACTGCAAATGTGGAAGGGCGACATCGGCCCTTAAACAGATGGATTTTGATGTGGTTGATTTTTATGCTAATCAAATTTTTGTGGGGGCGTGGACATTGACTCTATTTAAAAAGATTCTC